TAAAAGTTTTTTAGAAGAGATAGTACATTTCAAAGAGTTTGGAGCGGCCACATGCAAAGGCGGGGCTCAAAAGGCTCAAAAAAGGGAGGAAGGGGTTCAAAAAGGGAAGAAGCCGTCAAGAGCAGGGTGGACTTCCCAGGACTTGGGAGTTTTTATCTCCTTTCTCTAAAATGGGCTGTTCCCCTATGGGCATGGGACCACTTGATTGGTACCTGTGATTGACAAGAGGCACTGTGCAGGTGCCAGTGACTGGTCTGATCTAGTTGGGTACTTTGTGCCCATTTGTTTTCCCACAGGGGTAGGCAATTACAATACAAAGGGGAGTTTTGGGTGGAGAGGGGATGTCCCCTTGGCGGTCGCACTCTGTGGGACATGCAGGAATGCAGAGACCCAATGCCTGCCTCTAACTGCCTGTCTTGTTTTCCCCTTGAGAGACCTGATCCCCATAAAATCTCTGTGGGAAGCTGAGGGACAGGTCTTTCCTTCTGTATCTGCTTCCTGCTGGGCAGGGGCATAGAGCTGTCCCTGCCTATTGGGGGATTCACAGAACTCTCACCCTAGCTGATCTCGGATGAGAGGAAGGGGTCTCGAGCTGCGCCTGGAAGACCGTGTTGGCTTCTTTGGTTGTGACTGGCAATCTTGTTGAGGTGTCATCTGTATCCCCAAGGTCCCTGAATGAGGAAAAATAGATTTTAATTAATAAATCTGTTAGCTCTCATGAAACCTTTGGCCATTCAGCCCATCACTCAGGTGGCATCAGTTGTCTGGGCCCAGAATGGGATTGGCATTTAGCTCACTGGCCTGGGGAATATTAGGAAGTCACAGGTTTTCAAGTAGTTCTATGAAGCAGGGGTGGGAGACTTCTATTGTTTAGGATTCAGAAACTGATTTACAAAGCAATTAAGAAGCAGGGGGCAGTCTTTAGGATTCACAAACTGGTTAGAAGAGTAATCAAAGCCAAGAGCTAAGAAACTAAGGTACTAGGGAGGAGACTTAACATTTTTATACTTAACATTTCTATAGGAAAGAAAACTTAAAAGTTTCTGGGGGGGGGGTCGGGGCTACTTGGTTGGCTGGTAACATATTTACCTCAAATCAACTGCTTCCGACTTAAGCTAATAGAGTTGAGGAAGGAAGCAACAATTAATGGTCCTGAGTCATTTCCAGTTCCTTCAGGAGTCCAAAGGTAGGTAGTCTCTTTCCAGAAAAAATGTGTATGTGTACATAAAAAACTCTATGTGTCATGTCAGGGGGTTCAGGACTCCCTGAAACCTATCCTAGACCTTTCTGTGTAGAAGTAGGAAATGATGAGACATAATCCCCCCCCACGCCCACCTCAATATATATACACAATTGAAGAGTATTCTTGTAACTGCTTATGGAGGCTTTCTAAGCTCAGTTGTCACTGTTTGAGAAAGGTGATATTTTAAAGTGGCAAAGAGTACAGGCTCTGGAACCAGGCTATCTGGACTCAAATACTCATTTCTCTATGACCTGTTTGACCTTGGCCAAGTTTCTCAACCTCTCTGTTTCTTTCAATGGATCATTGTAAGGATTACATGAGTTAATAACACCTTAAAGGGCTTAGAACAGATAGTGGTAATAAGTGTTAGCTATTGTTGCTAAGTATTATTGTCTCACAGACTACATTCTTGTTGAATACCTGGCCAGGTGAGGCTCCCTAGGCTGTATCTTGCCTGGAGGGGGAGGCTGCCTTTTTCTCATTTGCACAAAGGTACCAAATGAAATAACATCCTCTCTGCACACAGATACATGCCTTTATGGAGTATGCCAAGATAAACTTCCTTTTCCATACCAGCATTGGGGAGGTCTCTTTTACTTTATGAAGAGATAGCTGCTTACAATTTAATGAGAATAAGGAAGATCCAAATCCTTCTATAGGGCTCCTCTTTTCCTCAATATTATCAGTCACCTACTTTGTCTCTGAACAGAGTAACTGATGCAACTTTTCTTGTCCACAATGTGAAAGTTGGATTTTGCCTATTAATCTCTCTTTCTAGCCCATTGCTATTTCTACTCTACTGGTTTTTTTAAATTATAAAATATTGGATAGCGCTTATGTAAGCTACTAGGATTTATGATTCAGTGAACACTCTTGTCTCTCCACCCAATTAAAATATATTTCTGATTATCTTTGAAATGCTCTGTATGCCCTTTCCAACCCATCTCCTTCCCTCTCACATCAAAGGTAATAATTATCCCGTGTTTATCTTTCTTTTCTCTTTAGCTTTATTGCATATTCATCCCTAAACAATATGTTGAAACTCTATGTAAAGGGAAACTAATGCGTGCGTGTGTATGTTCTACTACTAGCTTTTTATTTTTCAGATCAATATTATATATAGCCTTGCGTTTCATCTGCGTCTATATGTACAGTATTCCATTGTATGGCTGTACCTCAATTTATCCATTCTACTGTTCATGGACATTTTGGCTCCTATTTTGCTATTACACACAGTACTACCATGAATAAATATTTTTATTCATGTTTTTAAATGCACTTGTGCAAATTTCTCTAGGATATAAAACCTAAGAGTGGAATTACTGAATTATAGGAAATGCACATCTTCAGCTTTACTAGACAATAGCAAACGAATTCCAAAAATGGTTGTACCAATTTGTGCTCCTATCGCTAGGGTAGAAGGATTCAAATTGCTGTTTATTAATTCAAGAAATGTTTATTGGGTTCGTACAGCAGTAAATAAAAAGACAAAAAGCTCTACTCTGACAGAGTTTATATTTTAGTAGGGACTAATAGCTAAAACATTTAATATGCTAAAATGGTACATGTTGTATGGGGGAAAAAATTAATAAAGCAAGGGGAAAGGATGTTATCTCACTGCTCTTAGAGCCATTAGAGACTAAGGGGATGAAGCTGAGGTTCACATGGTGAGGACCTAAAGAGGTACAGGTGTGATGCGATTGGTTGGCCCTGATGCTTTCCAGCAGGTAATAATAGTGAAGCTGGGGGAGGGAGACGGGAGGAGGCATTTGAGAACCTTGCCAGGAGCATTTTCAGCCCTCTGCACTCATCCAGCAGAGAGAAGGCTAAGGAATGGAGTGGGGAGGCTGCTTATAGGTGGTCTTATTCTGAACACTTAGTGCCTTGGGGCCCACTTCTGACTCTTACAGAGGTTTGGAGGACCAGGAGAGGGGCGGTTTTGTCAGGAACGGAGGGAACACCAGCGTTCTCTTGATTCAGGAATACTTGGAGCTCGAGGGCTTGCTTGACACTTGAAGCTGGAAAGATGAAGGTTGGGGGAAGGGTGGGCTTATTCTGAGCCCTTGGAGCTCTAGGGCTTCTTGCCCCTGCCAGTGGGGCTGTCCTGGGGAGGAGGAGGGGTGTTGTCTAGAATCTGGAGAGCCCCCATTGTCAAACTTGTTAATTTTTGCCAGTCTGGTGGATGTGAAATGGTATCTTGTTGTGGTTTTAATTGCATTTCCCCGTTTCACTCTAAAAGAACAAAATTCTCTGTCTTTTCAATGTCAGATTTAGTCATTTAACTTGACTGCTACCTTCTAATTTAAACCTCACGATCCTGTGGGTTTTATTCACGATCAGGTACATGTTCCATGTGCTAGACACCCAAGATTTCCCAGTATAACAACCGAAACTCTTACTTTGGGGGCGCTTTTCAGGAGACCCTCCAGGAAACCCATTATGCCCTATGTTGTCACCACAAAGGTCGCTGAGTCAGGAACCCCGCCTTCTGTTCACTCAGCTGGAGGACCTGAATTGGTAGCGCTCACCCACACGTTGTTACCTAACCTCAGAAAACATGTCAGTATATCCACGATGGTCTCACCTCCTCTAGGGCTCCCAACAAAATCTTGGCCCCATGTTGCAGCACTGTCGGAGCTGCTCTTCAGTTGCCTTTTGAACTTGGCCATTTTAAAATCTGAGCATCACAGCGACTATTGATAGCCGTAAGGAAAAGGCTTCGGCTGACCATGACTAAGGCTGTAATTCCCTCTGCTTTTCAGGCCAAATCTTTATACAGTTTTAACACTCATGCCTTCCCTGCGTCCCTTAGGGCTCTCACAGGATCAAGCCTCAGAATTCACAAAAAGAACACTGGAGAAGTCGGGGGTTCCATGGTACTTGGATGATTTGTGGCACTCCCTCAGTGGCTATCTGCTTGTTCCCTACATCCTGCTACCCTCCCCTTGTTTACTTGTTACATTCATGCCATGAAAAATTCCAAAGCTGACAACAGCATCTGCAAATTCCAACTGATTTACTATCTGTTTCTAAGAAAAGCTCATTAAAGAAAAGACCATTACTCAGGACTATGCCTTATTTACCTTCTTAAACTTAAACAATGTGCATGAACCTATAAACATAGATGTGGGCACTGAGACATGCCCCTCATGGGTTCTTTTTCAGCCTTCAAAAGGATTTCATCCAACTTCCTATTGTTAGCTGGGAAGAATATCATTTAATAATTTTGTAAGCTCTTTCCTGGATGGATTGAAGTGTGTTACGGAAAGGCTGTCACCATTGTTAATGCTGTCCCACACCTTATGGGAATACCGTATATGACACCCACTTCACAGAAGAGCTAGACAAGAAATCTCAAAGTTCTACCAGGTTAAACATGATTATACAAACCTTGTTCCCAAAGTGCAAAAGGAGTAGAAAAAGGAAACATAGTCCTAAAAAAACATTAAGCTCATACACGTCTTAAATGAACCAAAACCCTTCCTAGTGCCCTTAATAAGAATAACCCCCAACAGATACATTGGTTTGAACCCATGTGAAATTGCTATGGGGAAACTCATGAGACAATTCTCATCCACCTTGACTGACCCAAATGATTTCTCAATGCTTGTTTCTAATAATATTGTGAGTAACTGAAAACCCATATGAGTCGTCTGAAGTTTTATCCTTTACAGGTATGTGAAGGATTCTGAGACCCTCCAACCAGCTCAGCATCAGCTACTTCCTCTGACTGGGTCCTGATTCAGGTCCTCCCAAGAACGACTTCATTGGATCCACGCTCAAGAGGCCTCTCCCAGGTTTTCCCGATCCCCCTACATCGCCGTAAAGTGCCAGCGCCTTAAGACTTGGGTACGTGTATTACAGCGGAAAGCGTGCCAGCGCCCACAAAGACCCATTGGACCTGTGAGCTCCTCTGACCAAACAGACATAATAAGCTTACCAGCAACGCAGAGTAAGCCACGTGCCTCTGCATGACATCAGCAGCTGATTAACACACAAGAAAAAAATAACTATAGACTAGAGCCTTATCTTTCCTTGAAAAGCTGGGATTTGGAGGAGGTATTCTGAGATCTGTGCTCCTAGCAAGTGACTGATAACATTATAGAGCGGATCGGTCCCTGAGTTCAGAGACTGAGTTGCAGTTGAGTGAAAAATACACAACGAAATCTTGAAGAATTGCACGGAAGTGCAAGTCAAATTTAACCTCCTCCAGCTAGTGGTGGTTGGACTGAGAAATTGCTAAACCAAACCTGTAACAGGACTGGTTATTTGGGTGTCTCTCTCTGTCATTGTTGCCACTTACTGTTCCATTGCTTTCTGTGTTGTGTCTGTAGGCCAGATGTTCTCGGATAATTCACATTGCCCCGACTGTGGACAACAGTGGTTCCCTAGTTTAGAGCTAGGCCACTGGCTGTACCAAACTGAACTTGTGGCCAATGAATGTTACCAAGTTTTCTTAGACCGTATTAGCAGGGCTGATTATTGCCCTGAGTGCTATCCTGATAATTCTGCTAATAGGAGCCTTATTCTCCCTTGGTCTTTCCCACTTGAGTGGGCTCCCCAAAATCTGACCAGGTGGACCTTTGAGAAAGCTTGCCACCCATTTCTTCTAGGTCCCCCACTGGTTAGAAAAAGGATACATGACTCGAGAGTCGCTGGCTTTAACCCTGCCTTACAGTTAATCTTGACGAGAACAGACACGACCTTAAACAAAAAACTTGGCCAAGGCAGTTAACTTCGTAAATAGTCAAAATCAATGCGACTCCAGAGGGTTTTGTGCTAGAAGCCCAAGGAAGATGGAAAAACGACTCCTTTTCAATCTGATCTAGACTGTCACTGCTTTGGGGAACTGCTTAAATGGTTGGATCTGTTACGATGGTCTATACTGATTTTTGTCCAGCACCAATTTAATCAGTATTCCAGCCAGGCTGTTCATCTAGAACCAGACTATTTCATGTTCCCTGTTTTGGAATTAGCTAACTCTACCCCACTTCCCCCTAAAAAAGCTCTACAGCCTCATTATTGACAAATGACAAGGGAGTCCCGAGGCAAGGCCCATACTGTCTGTAGCATAACAGTGTTTCTAGGGATAATTTTTGTGGGAAAGCATCCTCATTGTTGCTTGATTCTAGATCATTCTGGTAAAGCAGCTTAGACATTTTAATAAGAAACTATTTAATTCTTGGTTCTAAATTCCACCTCTTACATATATTTCAGTGATTATATATATCTCTATATACACTTTATTCATATATAATCATTTATTCTTCATTGGCTCTCTTTGGCCTCAGTGTGGCTTTGACATTACCTATAACTGGCCCCTGTCAGAGAAATCACATTCTGTCAGGCGACACCTCCACAAGTTAAACAAAAACATGCAGAGATGCCAGTGTCTACACTTCTTTGGCTCTCCATAAACGACTATTCTGTGTCTGTGGTGACTGGACTACTCTGGAGATGGAAAAGTACCTGTCCTATGAGATAGGTGACAAAAGGAGTCACCAAGCTTGACTCCATATGTGTGATGGAGTCTAAGGGAAGCACCCATCTCAACACTGAGCAGGTCATGTTTGGTCATAGCCACAGCCTGGCCTTCACTTCTCCATGAGAGTCACGGAACCAGAGTTCGGGTAAGAAACTTAGAAAAGGCTGTTGAAAACATCTCAGAAGCCACTGAACAATGTTAAAATTCCACTTAAGATGCTAGATAATTCTCTGCTTGTGTAGCAACTCGACAGTGTTCTCAAGGCCCCAGGCTCTTTCTGTGTTTCCCCTCTGGGATCCTTATCGCATTAGCTTTGGTCCCCCTAGTTTCGCAATGTGGCTTGTTGCTGCTCCCGACATTTCAGTCCCCATCAAAGGCAGCACGTAGGGAGCAAAGCGCGTTCTCCTTTGAAGGCTCTGTCTTATCTGGAGAGAAACTCTTTCTCAACATGCCCTCCCAGCTTTCTTACATCTCATTAGAAGGTATTGGTTCACAACGAAGGCCGGGAAACCAGGCAAAGGGGAATAGGGTTGGCAGTGCCAGGGTAGGTAGGGCACACGGTCTCCCCAATAAAATCAGGGCTCTTAGGAAGGGAGAAGTGAGGAATGAACGGCTGCTGGATGCAGCAGATCATGCCTGCCCCATGTGTGAAGCCTAAAGTTGTTTGTTCGTCTGTGTAAAGAATGTATCCCAGAGATCTACCCTGTATCCGCCTTATGTTTGTCATGATGGAAGTTCTCTCCTGTTACTGCGCTGAATAAACTGTGTGGACTGCTAAACTGCGTGAAGACTAGTTAGTGTATCATTAACCCTTGGTTAACAACTCCTCCACTATCCTAAGGATCACTCCAAAAAGTGAGGTATTGCTTTTGAGGATGGCATTAGGCTCCATACCCCTACATTTCTTCACATACTACTGAGAAACACTACATATGTGCAGTTCTATCAGCAAACTAGAGAAAAGGTCTTTCTGTTTTGACCAGTCTCTCCTTTTTAATAGTAAAGATAAATTAAATGGATTTGCACCATTGATTTTTCAAATCAGTACTGCACGATCTTGTCAAAAATTGAGAATTTCTTGATCTCACAGGAAGTTTGATTCCATAGGTTGCTCAGAGGGCCCAGAAATCTGCATTTTATAAGAGGTGCCTTAGGAGACTGTTGTGCAGCTGCTCTATTGACCAAACTTGGAGAAATGCCGTGCATCCATGGTGTTTAGTTATCTGGCTTCAAAGGATGGGGACTGAGTACTCATCATGCTGCAAGATGGAGACAGTGATTGTGCTTTGCTGGTGACGGATAAAGAGATTTCACGTCAGACTGAAGGTCACTGTTGATATTTCAGGCTACAACTCAAGTCACACTTTTTTCATTAATTAAACTAATAGGACTATTGTAGCCCTCCTCACAAACAGTTCTGTGTGGGGCCATTATAAGCTAAGTGCGCATATGGGCGAGAGAAAGGAATCAAAAATACCAATTTTAATGTTACATGAAGAAGGGTACTTCACCTGCAGACATGATCATATTATCACATACCTGTTTTGCGGTCCGCTCTTAGAAATAACGTCAAGTGGTAAAGTTCATAAAATTGAGCAAGAGAGAAAATTTAGAAAGCTTTGTAGCTTTTCAGCTTAGGTCTTTTCAGTATGACTATCCTTGGCTTAACATACTGTGGATTATTCTAGAATACGCCATAGTTAATAAATACTGAACTTTATAAGTGTGTGCCTACAATTAATTTTCACGACACATGATCTGGAGGTTTATCCATTTGTTTGGATTATGTGAGCCGTGTGCACCTCTTCCAAACCATGGAGGAGTCGATAATACTATCACATAATGGCGGCCATTTTTTAAATGACTTATAACTACCTCCTGGTATTTTATGGCAGACCTGGGCGTGGAAGGTTAATGGAAACACGCTCTGGGGCAGACAGGGAGGAAAATATCTGCTGAAGAGAAGGCTGTCCTGGGTTGTGGGGGACTGAGTTGAGATTCATCTCTAAGTCAAACCCTGGGCAAGCCCAGGCACAGAAAGAATTCCATGGCATCCAGAGTATGTGGCCGTCAGCACGTTACAGATGTCTTTACAGATATCTGTACAAGTGAGATGAGTCATGCCCTGTCCGTCCATCTCTTCAGTTTCCCCCGACAGCCTTTGACTCTCCATGGAATCTTGGGGACCACTTGAAAACTGCTTGTTATAGAGGAAAAATGATGGCTTTGCAGCCAACTGACCTGGGTTTGTCTTCCAATTCTGACACTATGGAGTGACCTTGGGCGATTTCACCTCTGGATCCAGTTTCTTCTTCATCTGTAAAATACAATAAATAACCAAAGTCCATACATCATAAGATAGTCGTGAAGATGCAAGTAGTTAATACAGGAAGTGCTTTTGAATGCTGCCTGGCCCAAAGAAGGCACTGAGCAAATGTTAGCGGTTACTGTCATTGTGTAGGTTTTATATGTGGTCTCCATGGCAGAATGATAAGTTGTTTGAGGGCCAAGATATCTGCTACTTTTTATCCCTGGAGCCTAAAATGGCATCATTCACTAAAATAAGTGTTTAGAAATAGAAAAAAGATACATACTTATTGGGCCCTGACTACCATACATTTGTTTGTCACGATGGCATTTACATCCAAACTACCATCCAGGATTGGCTGATTAGTTTTTGTCTGTCTTAGCTGCTAAACTTCTAATTTCCCTGTCCTTTAAAAAAGAAATTTACATCTTAATGTGGCAGATACCAGCGCTTTTGGACACCTACCTGCCTCTTCCCTTTTCTGTAGGTCTCCTCTGGGTCTCCATCCCATCTTCTCCTTGGTCCCCATGGCGAGACTAGAGGTTTTCAGGATGGACTAGAGCAGCGGCTCTCAACCTGTGGGTCACGACCCCTTTGGGGGTCGAATGACCCTTTCACAGGAGTCACCTAAGACCATCGGAAAACATATTTTCGATGGTCTTGGGAACCGAGACACCGCTCCTCTATCCGTATCCAGGCGGGTCCGCCCACATGCAGATAAGCCCACATCCGAGTACCCGGCTTCAAGACAAAATTTCATTTATTTGTAATTAGAAATAAATATTTCACAATATATACATATTGTTTTTGTGATTAATCACTATGCTTTAATTATGTTCAATTTGTAACAATGAAAATACATCCTGCATATCAGATACTTACATTACGATTCATAACAGTAGCAAAATTACAGTTATAGAGTAGCAACGAAAATAATTTTATGGTTGGGGGTCACCACAACATGAGGAACTGTATTAAGGGGTCGCGGCATCAGGAAGGTTGAGACTCACTGGACTAGAGGTTGGGTGAGGGGTTCTATGCTTTCCCAGCCCTGATTTTGTTCTCACAGGCAGCTTTTCCCTGTCCTGTCTCCCCGTACCTTTCATACGGAAAGGGATAGTCATCCATTTGATTAATTAAAGGGAAGAGGCAGGTAGGTATCAAGAAGCACTGGTATTTGCAACATGTGACTTTTGTCACACCTGGTTGTGACAAAATACATGGGAGACTGGTTGAATGGTGCCTCTAACATTAAGTTCATTGCATGTGGGCTCAAAGAATTGCCATTACAGGCCTTTCCTTTTGATTCTTTTCCCCACAGAAGCTAATATATTTTATTTATTACTCATTTAAGAAATTATTAACTACCTCAAACATAGAAAAGTGCAGAAAATAGCATTCACCTATGCACACAGATCTAACATTCACATTTTGCCACATTTACCTCAGTTCTTTTTTTTAAAGATACTGGACAGGTATAGTCGAATTCCATTCTTGTTCTCATCTTCTTCCTGTCCTTCCCTCTGCAGAAGTGAGCCCTAAATGGAAGCTGATGTGCATCCTTTCTGTTCATGGGTTTAATTTTGCATTTTATATCTATTTAAACAATAGACAGAGCAATAAAAAAGAATTGGACACTTTCAAAATTTTACTATGCAGCAATGTTCATATATAAACATCTAATATGATCCATTTGTGAAGTTGCCTTTCCAACACTTAATTTTGCATGCTGGACTCTGCTAACCTTGGTTGGTACCACAGTGCAAAGACCATCCTGTGTACCAGACAGTGAATACCTACCAGGTTGTCAAAGTATTGCCATTGGTACAAGGGAGATGGAGCTGAAAGGGGACACCTTACAAGACAGAGCACAGGGCAGCCACATCAGGGAAACCTGTGTCCCTTTCTAGAGAAGTCCCAGGATATTGACATTAAGGAAGCATCCCTCAGCCTACCATTTGGTGCGTTCTCCATAAATGGCGAATGAAACCTTACTGCTTTCACCTGTTTCCGGCCCTCATAGAGACGGTGAAAGCAAAAGGATCCAAGTTTTGCTGCACATTGCAGGGTCCCAGGGAAGTGGAGATAACTGCCAGTGATGAGCCTAAGTTTTACTAAACGTGGAAAAATGGATCATCATAACCTCCACATATGGGGCACTGAACACCAACATTTCACAAACCTAAAAGGGATTCACTAAACCTAAATGTTTTTGTGCCATATGAGGCACACGGGTCTTCATTAGTTCCTTTTCGAAAAAGGCCCCATTAAAGGCATTTTTTTTTAAAATACTACAGAATGGTTTTTCCTACAGCTGCAGAAAGTCTCCAACTTCCCATTTCCATCAGGATGAGGCTCTGCCTCACTTCCGTTATGCATCTAAACGTCCCTAATGTATACACTTCCTGGTATGGACTGGACACTGTTCCAAAGATTGAGCTGCCTCTCCAATAGTGGCCTGCAGATCTCCCAGACTCCCCACAAGGCGACTTCTTGTGAGGGTGTGTCACGAAGCTCCGAGTCTGTAGCACTTCTTCCTTGCAGCCTGGAAGGAATAGCACTTCAGCTGTGAACATGAACGCGCCATGTTACAAAGGGCCTGAAAAAATGGCCTACAGGAATGACGTGTGCCTTGAGACAAGAATGGTGTACACCAGGCATTTGTCAGATGATAGACATACTTGTGACGGTTTCTTGGCAGATTGTTTATTGGCTGCAACCTAGTTACCAAGCAACACATTTTTGAGAGCATTCAGTTCTGTTTGTTTGAACTCAAGTTTATTGAGGATATTCTACATGCGATAAAATACAGAGATTTAAGTCTGATGACAAGTGTAAGCACTACCTCAATAAAGATAGGAAACAGGGCCGACTGAGTGGCTCAGTTGGTTAAGAGCTCGCTCAAGAGTTTGAGCTCTGAGCAATAGCGGTTCGATTCTTAGCCCAAGCTGAGCAGCCGCTGAGCTGCGAACAGGTAGCAGGATGGCTCAGCTTAAAAAAAAAAAAGATAGGAAACACTTTCATGACCCCAAAATGTTTCCTCATGCCCTTTTCCAGTCAGTACTTGTTCCCCTAGGAACCACTAATCTGTTGTTTAATCACTGTAGTCCATAGGTCTGCACCAGCAAAAAGGACACCTGTCCCTAATGCCTCCCTTCCTTTCCAGTTTATAACTGGTACCACCATTCATTCATTCATTCATTCATTCATATCTTTTCAGGTAAAATATGGCACTATGTTAGGCATTTGGGATTAAAAATTTTAATTTGTAAAATTAAATTTTACAAAATTACGCTGTAAGAAAGATACAAAGGAGGCTAGTTGGCTAGCTTCAAAATGTACACTTTATAAAGCTCTTTCATATATATATTTTGTTTTTTATTGAGGTAAACTTGGTATATAACATTATATAAGTTACAGGTACACAACATTATAATTCGACATCTGTATATATTACAAAGCGATCATCATCAAAAGTCTAGTTACCGTCCTTTACCATAAAATTGACCCCCTTACCCTCTGGTAACCACAGATCTGTTCTCTGTATCTATGAGTTTTGTTTTGTTTGTTCATTTATTTTGTGTGTGTGTGTGTGTGTGTTTTTAAGATTCCACGTGAGTGAAATCATATGGTATTTGTCTTTCTCAGTCTGACTTATTTCACTTAGCATAATACCCTCAAGGTCCATCCATGTTGTCGCAAATGGCAAGATTTCATTCTTTTTTATGGCTGAGTGGTAGTCCATTGTGTATATACCACATGTTCTTTATCCGTTCATCCATCGATGGACACTTAGATTGTTTCCATATCTTGGCTATTGTGAATAATGCTGCAGTGAGCATAGGGGTGCAGATATCGTTTTGAATTACTGCTTTCATATTCTTTGGACAAACATCCAAAAATGGAATAGCTGGATCATATGGTAGTTCTATTCTTAATTTTTTGAGGATCACATATATTTTTGTATTTAACCCTCCTAGCAAACCTTAATAATTTTTACAGATAATGAAGGTTAAGTAACTTTGGATAGTATTGCTTTTGACAAAAAATAAGATTTAACTATAAAATGATAGTTTTTATTGCTTTTAACCTCTGATTTTGATTCCTTTGGTATATAGCTCATACTAATTTATGTATCAGTCTTCTTTCAGTACTGCCTAAAAAAGCATTATATAAAAAGATGTCTCTTTATTTTACAAAACAATACCACTAAGAAGGCAGTGATGAAACTCCAAATGTGTATTTCCTACTCTTTATACCAAGGAAGCCATCTTAGTTTGCAGGTAGCACCCTGTGCATTGTTACTTGTGAAGGATAAGTACAAGTTTCTGACAGGCAAACTCTGAAAAATTTATATGGAACAGAAATGGAAAACATAAAAGAAATCTGCAGTGATGAATTCAGTACTGAGTAACATTTCCACTCTTAGAATTCCTTTTTATTTCAATTTCATAGATGTCCTCTTTAAGTTTCTGGTCACTTGGTCTTTTTACATCCTTTCCACCACACTGGAATGTATTAGGAGATTACGGCATTCAAGGTTAATAATCTGAAGCTTTTTTCTATTTCTAGTCTAGGATGTGGAATGATCCTCAAGAAAGCCAGAAAACATTTTTTCTTCACTAGAAAAAGTTTCAGAGAGGAAATACTTACTCAAACTAAACAGATTTAATAAATAAAGCTGAAATTGACATTTCTTCCATGTATGAATAAAAAGTCATTTAATTTTAATTTTATTTTTTTTGTCATTTTAATTGTAGTCGCTGTATATATGCCTTTCCTGGGTCCACGGGAAGCATGAGTCTTTTGGGACTTGGGACAAGAAGAAAACAAGACATCTTCACGAGGAAAACCAGACGCTAACAAAAAGTATCCCAAAGCCTGGAGAGAGAGGACACAAACATGGCCGACAGAGGACTCAGGGATCCTTCAGAGGGTAAGACGCGTTTGTACAGCACTGAGGTCGGTGCTGTAGGAAACTAGGGCTGTGCTGAGAGAAAATCTCTGATGACTGACACCTGAAGTTTGGAGGTAACAAAGAAGTTAACTTAATTAATTTGCTATGATTATTCTTACTCTTTTATATTTAGTAAATTTTACCAAAACATCAGACCTTAATTATAAGTAAGATTAATGTTTTAGAGACTCCAATCGTAGAATGGTATTGGAAAACTGCAGTGCATCTTTAAAATATATGGTAGACACATATTTATTTAAAAAAATCAAGAAAACTTGTCTTATGGTGTATATTTAGAGGGGATCTTTCAATTATAGGGAAAGATGAAATTTAAATTCATCCTACTTATGTGTAGTATATATAGGATATACAAAACAGGCAAAACATGAAGTAGATTTTTCAGAAGAGAAGAAGGGCATATTTATTTAAGTCTTTTACTAAGGATGTTTTTAAAATATATAAAAGTAGAGCAGTATAATAAGCCCCCATGTACTCAACATCTAACTTCAAGTACATAATGATCTTGTGGCCTGTCTTGGAATATTTAAATGAGAATCCAAGACGTTATATCTTTTTATTTGTAAACAGTTCATATCTCTTAAAGATAAAATTTAAAAATATATAACCAAAATAGCATTATCACACCTAAAAATTAATAATAGTTATTCTTTAATATGATTACATATCCACTGAGTATTCACATATCCCCAGTTGTCTTATAATCTTTTTTTTCTTAGTTGGGTTTCTTTCTTTTTTCTCTTTACAGTTAGGTCACACACTGCATTTGATTTATATATCTTGTAGGTTGCTTTATTTTTTTAAGCTTTATTATAGAAAATTTCAAACATACATAAAGTAGAGAGATGAAGTGAAACCCATGTAGCCATCAAACAGCTTTATCTGTTGTCAACATCTGGCTAATCCTCTATACTCCCTCACTTCTCCTTTTTTTTAAATCACTGAATTGATGAATAAATACCTGAACACTTATCTAAATACTTGAAATCCTTATCTAAAAGATAAGGATTCTTTTTTTAAAAACATTATCACAGTGCCTTTATTGCTCTAAAAGATGAGCAAAAATGTCTTAGTTATCATCAAATAACTGGCATTCAATTTTTCCTGATTGACTCATAAATATTTCTTTACCAGTTGGTTTCTCAGACACTGGGTCTAAGCAGGGTGGGCCGCACATTGCATGCTGTGGATTTGTCTGTGAAGTCTCTCTTAATCAATAGGTCACTCCTTTTTTTTTTTTCTTGCTATTACCGAAAGAAACAGTCTTTTGTCCCTTGGAATGTCCCACATTCTGGGTTTTACTGATTACATTCCTGAGGCAGAATTGAATACATTCCTGGGAAACTGATAGTTAGCTCTAGAAGCCTGATCAGATTCAAGTTCAGTTGTTTTGCAGGGGTACTTCCTACCATGTTTCCCCGAAAATAAGACCGGGTCTTATATTAATTTTTGCTCCAAAAGACTCATTTTATTCATTTATTCATGTACAAAAATCTACATTTATTCAAATACAGTCATGTCTGGCTGATGATCTTAACTGGGGCTTATTTTGGGGTAGGGCTTATATTACAAATACCCTAAAAATCATTCTAGGGCTTATTTTCCAGTTAGGTCTTATTTTTGGGGAAACACGGTATGTGGTATAGTGCACTTCCTATTGCACTGAATTGGGAGGTTAATGTATCTGGTTTTCCCTCTTTTTTGTGATATTAAGATTGATCAGTGTGGACTCAGCAGTTGTCAGTCTGGCCATCCATTATAAAATTCCTCATTAGCTTTTTGCATAATGGTTTTCGTTGCTGTTGATGACGATTGCCTAGATCCATTATTTCATTAGAGAAGAGGATGTAGTTAATATAACTAAAAGTTGGCTTGTCATTCAGAATGTTTTACATTACTATTATTGGTTAGATTTATTAACATGATAATACATTTGTTTGTCTTAATCTCTTAGTGGATGTCAAGAGAAATAATGTTTAGGAATAATGTGTTGTAAACCATAAAAAAATTATTAATTTTTATATATAAATATTACTCATTTATCAGGGACCTTGTTAAAATCCAAAAAAAAAAATGGGGGAAATTTTTTCAATAAAAATTATAAATTTTTATCTCAATAGACTCTCAAAAGGACTTGGAAAATGACCCACCAATACATTCTCAGGTACAGGAGACCACAGTTCCAGCAAGTACTACCGAAGAAGCTCAGGCCCTAAACCCTGCCTCTGGTCTCAGCAAAGACCACCAAGAGGTAGAAACAATAGGTTCAGGAAGGGCAGATACAGATGATCAACCAGAAAGTCCTGATGAAACAAACTGTGGGAAATGTCCAAAGGATGAAACAGAACCTGAGACCAACCCGAGTTCTCAGGAGGGAGAAGGAAGGCACCCACTCTCTTCAAAAAGTCTGGATGAAGAACCCGACGAACCCGACGAACCCGACAGCTCTCCGGGTGACAAGGCAGGAAGAGCAGATGAACACTCAGGGAGCAGCTCTGCAGCCCTCCCCGAGGAAGCAAGCGACGGCCCCGGAGCTTCACAGGGGCCGCCTGCCACGGAACCCCAGGATGCCCAGACTCCTGGTCACTCCTGTGCAGGGCTGGAGAGCCAGGGTGCACTGAGGAGGCGGCTGCTGGCGCCAGGTGAGAGAACCCCCTGAGCTTCTGTCACTGAGAACAAACAGCATAGGTCAGTCCTTTCCAGAAACTTCTGTCTTTCCTTGGATTAAGGCCTTTGGGCCTCGCCCAAGGTCACAGAAAGAGATATGACTGAGTTGCGATTAGACTGAGGTTTCTCATCAACTAAAGTAGCTAGTTCCACCACATAAAGTTTCTTTTCACACTTAAACTGCATTTTTAAACAATGTTTTTATTTATTTACTGTTTGTATTAATGCAGTATGATATATATAAAAAAGGGCATGACTTTTAAAAAATTCATCTCTGGCTTTTTCTTTTTTATAAGCATGTTTTAATTTACATTTTTAAAAAAATCTTTATTTCTGGGAAAACTAAATGCTACCAAAATGAAGAGATAGGGATATATAAAAACCAACATCAGCGGTACAGTAAGTACCTTTCATGCAGTCATTTCAGTTGTATAGGATTTTGAACAAATCAGTTAATTTCTCTATATCTGATTCCCCACCCCCCTTACATATTAAGAACAAGCATCATATCTCCCGTTATGAAAATAACAGTTACAATGTGCTAAGTCCTAACTGGAACTCAAGAGACATGGATTCTAGTTGTGGTGACTTTGGGCCAGTCTCTGAGCTTCCTGGCACTTCAGTTTCCTATTAGTAGAAGGAAGAAGTTGGACAAGATGCTATCCAGCTCTCGTCTTCTGTGATTGTATTTTATAAGTACTCTGAAGGGCTCAGTCTGAAATGCCCATTTGTCAGTGCAAAGGAATACACAATATTAGATATTCTGTTCATCGGGGACTTGACAAAGAGCTGGAAATTCATGTTCCACTCTAAATCAATGACTGATCTCAAGTATCTGTTTCATTCTTTCATCATTAGAACAGTCTGTAGCTTCAGTGGAGGACTATGTCTCTCACTGTTTCTGCGGCCCCTGGCACAGAGAAGCAACTTGATGAATATTTGTCAAATGAAGGAATGAATGAGATTTGTGTGGACCATTATCTGCCATCAGAATTGCACTGGTGTGCAGGTTCACTGAAGACAGGAAGAAAATATTATTTCAAAATGTAGTTTATTTGTGGGAAGCAACTTAATATAAAGGAATGAGCTAATCTAAGTGAGAAACCTTGTTCCCAGCTCAGCCAGCCACATCTCTTTATGTGACCTTGGGCAAAACCCTTCACATCTCCGGACGTTTTGTCATGATAAAGGTGGGGGCTGGAGTAGGCGTTCACTAAAGATCCTTTCGGTCTTTAAATTCTGTGATGTGATGTTTTAAAAATCTATTTTTGGGGGGAGTGATATGACTAAATGAACCCTCCTTTACAAGTGAAGATGATTCTACTTATATATGCTAATAGAGTATGCCATTTGAGGTGTTTTTCCAGGAGGGGCTATGAGCAGTATTCAGCTTTCACTGTGACATGAGGTACCTGCCTGGGGTCAGGCACACACCTGGACTCAAGAGTGACTTAGCTTAGAGTGCTCCTTTTCAGCCACACATTTTAAAATTGGTGTCTGACCCCACACCTACATTTTTATACAGTTGATCAGTTTCCTTAACCTTGTATTCCCTGCTTTGCGTACCTCCGTCACCACGTTTCAAACTTGCTTTTGTAAGCTACATATTTTGCAACTTCACAGTCCTCTCTGCTGTCTCTAAGCTTAGTGCCTCGTTATCTGTATACTTGGGGATTGGGAAGAGCCATGTGAGACTAGAACACTGGAATCGTTGTCCTGTGGTGTTGTCTTGTGTACGGCTGACGTTTCTGACACTGCTTCTTAATTCTGTACATGTTGTTGAATCACAATTTAGGTAGGTTTGGCTGCAATATTAGGATGCTCGCTTCTTTGTCTTTGATGTAAGGGTCAGTGAGGAATTAGGAATGTAGCAACAGTCTCCTTAAATGAGTTTCAGAGCCCTACATTTTATTCTTCTAAGCAGAGTAAAAGTAACAGTGAGCCTTAAGGGAAAGTCAGGAAGAAAGCTAGCCTTGTATTAAAGAAAACTTTACAAAGTATAGAAATCCTCTCAAACAATTCTTTGTTTTCGTAGGCGGTGTAAAAGTATACACACTGTCATTTGTCTAAAAATAATGTTCTTTTTTTTCCCTCCAGAAGCTGAAAGTCACCAACAAGGAACCCAAAAATTGGAAGAAAAGAAAGAGACTGCACAGGGTACTATACAAAAGAATAATAAAAAGGATTTTTTGAGCTATGGTGAGAATAAAACCTGTCTTGCTGCAGTGTTGATCCACATTCAGAAATCCTCAGAGAAAAGACCTAGAGAACTTGCAGATTTAAACAGTTTTAACATTCTTTTAGCATGTTTTAAGACAATGTGTGATAGTAAGCACAGTAAAACCTTGGATTGCGAGTAACTTGGTTTGCGAGTGCTCTGCAAGACGAGCAGACATTTCTAATACATTTTAACGTGGTAAATGAGTGATGTCTTGCAATACGAGTAGTTTGTTTCTGGAATGAATTGTGCTCGCAAACCAAGGTATTACTGTAATTGTCAAATAGAGTGACAGAGTTGTAGGGGCTTTCCTTCAGGGGTGCTGGCTGATGCTTTGTCATCCTTAACAAAATGGAAATTCCCACAGGAGGAAAGGCGTTTCATAATCAAGAAACTAAAACTTCCTTTTCCGTTAGAGAGTATTAACTTCTCAAGTGGCATTTTTACATTTTGACCCTTTAGGGAAAAAGATGGCCTGTTACAGGTAGTAGGTACTTTGAGAAGGTGGGAGAATATACTGATAGTTCATTTCTAAATCACAAGTTTATATTATATTGTAGCAACATATTATAGCAACAGATACATGAACTTAGCTTTTGCCTTTTAAAAAGATATTGTCCCTTCAAATAATTCAATCTAAGAAATCAGAAAATGTAGATGTGGTAGATTTTAAGAGCAGAAAGTTTAAAGGATTTGGGCAAAAGACACTTACCACAACCAGCAAAATCTAACAGTATCTCTCCCTCATTTCAGTTTGCCACAGGCTTTGTTTCTGACTCACATTCTCCCCAATTTTGTCGTTTATTTTTTCATCCTCTGACAGGCTCCATCTTCCTTGGCTTCCTAGTTCTGACTCTCATTTTGCTACGCTCGGTTCAGAGCTACTATTCCTCTCCAGCTCAGCAAGTGCCCAGAAATCCAGCTTTAGAGGCCTTCCTGGCTCAGTTCAGACAGTTGAAGGATAAATTTCCAGGCCAGAGTCCCTTTCTGTGGCAGCGAGGACGTAAATTTCTCCAGAAACACCTCAATGCTTCCAAGCCCAGCGAGCCCGCCACCATCATCTTTACAGCAGCCCGAGAGGGAAGAGAGACCCTCAAGTGCCTGAGCCACCACGTGGCCGATGCCTACACCTCTTCCCAGAAAGTCTCCGCCATTCAGATCAATGGGGCTGGAAGAAGCCTGCAGGATAGTGATGCGGTGAAGCTACTGGTTGACATGGAGCTGAGCTCTGGCTTTGAGAACGGCCAGAAGGCTGCCGTGGTCCATCGCTTTGAATCCCTTCCTGCAGGCTCCACCTTGATCTTCTACAAGTATTGTGACCATGAGAATGCCGCCTTTAAGGACGTGGCGCTGGTCCTGACCGTTCTCCTAGAGGAGGAAACATTAGAAGCAAGTGTCGGCCCAAGGGAAATTGAAGAGAAAGTGAGAGATTTACTGTGGGCCCGCTTTACCAACTCCAACACTCCCACCTCCTTCAACCACATGGACTCGGACAAGCTGAGTGGGCTGTGGAGCCGTATTTCCCACCTGGTGCTGCCCGTCCAGCCTGTGAGGCACATAGAGGAGCAGGGGTGCCAGCTGTAAGCTGAGCCCTGAATTGGTTATGGAAGTTCCAGGTGTGCTAAATAAAAAGAGCCTTCCATTTATATGGAAGGAGGTTGATGAATGTGAGGAAATCACCTGAAATGCACAAATAAGCTTATTTTAGAAAACAAAAAAAATCATTTTTTACTTTTTGTAAAGTTTTTCTACTCAAAGCTTGACAAAGCTGAAAGGTAGACCTGACTTTTTTTTCCACCCTTACCTTTCAAGCAAATCTGGTGAAATCTAGCATGGTAGATATAACGGAGGATTTTTTTTTTTAATCCAAAAATACAGCAACGGAATTCTTGCACAGGAAAATAATCTGCTCAGAGTAACTACATTGCGGAGTTTATTTTCTTGAGACTCTTAACAGTCTTTTGGATAGTATTTGGACAAAAGCAATTAGTTATGAAGCAATGATAATTAAAAAGAATTGTTTTCTATCACATATCACATATATCAAATATTTTAAAAACTCATTTTAATAGCCTAGTTGTGTGGGATTACATTTTATACTAATTTGCACTTTTGAGTAGTATGAAAAAAGGAAATTTGAATTCACATACTTACCTAAATACTATATGGAAGGCACTGTGCTTTTTTTATGTTAATGAGCTGAGAGAAAAGCAGCGCTACTCAAGAAATGCTCCTAAAACTTGGGGGAATTGTTTATAATCATTGAAAACGAAATTCCAATTGGCTGTGTCTTTACTTGAATTATTTAGAGCAGTGCTTATCAGGCTGTGTCTACTGGTACCCCTCCCCTTTGTATCACAACAGTTCTGCTTTGACTGTTTCATATTTTGGGATTCTTCATAAGATTTCGTTGGAACAAAGAGTTCCACCGATTGAAAAATCACCAATTAAGTGAGAAAACATGTTAAAAGATAGGAAATGGGTAGGAAACAAATGAATGTATTAAAACTCATGAGTACGAAGAGGACGAAATATAGGTTTATTGTAGACACACTTTTTAGGAAAGATAAAGACCTACAGAGGAACAGTGGAGTGTTTAAAGTATTTACTAGCAGATTTCTGATGCTTTTGTTAATTTCTGTTCATCATCACTTCTGCCTCCCCTGAATGGGATTTTATAATTGTCTAGGATGAGGGTTTGAGTCTCCTGTAAGCAGAACAGATTTTAAGAACCAATTGAATAGTAGGTTTTATATAAGTACATTAGCATAACTTGACCATACTGTTTACTTGTTAAGCAGTGATGGAACATTATGTAATGCAGTTCACTTCTTGATCTGCTAGTTAGAAGTACCATTAGGTTAACCATGAGAGAAATGCAAGATGTGCTGTACTAAGTGAGAGGAAGCAGAAATGGTTTCTAAGAGGTTCTAATGGCCAGTATGAATTGCTGGACCATGTTCTGTGATTCTAAAAAAGATTGAGAACAGTGTTCATGGAGACAGTAGGGTTTTTGGGGTTTTTTTTTGGGGGGGGGGTTGTTTGTTTGGTTTTTTTTTTTGCATTTCAGCTCTGAAGGCAGAACTCTAGTCAATGATCTTGACCAAATGAAGGGTCTGTTCCATTACATGGCATTCCTAGGAATGGTCACCATGCTCCTGGAATATTTCAGTGAGGTTTTGGGATATGGTTTTAAGTCACATGATTAAAGTATGGAAGGAGTTTCAGAAACAGTAAAAAGATAATAGAGATCCTTACTGATACCTAAAAAGAGGTCACAAAGACATGAGGGAAGAATCTATTTGAAAGTACGTGTCACAGGCAGATGCATAAATCTGTTCTAACCAAGGCCTTACATTATGCTCCGTTGAGGTAGGGGCCTACCTGACGGGACTATTTTCATTGGGAACTTTGTGAAGCAATCTTCCAACAGGTTTGAGGAAAGACCTGCCTGAACACAAAGTTCAAGCACAGTGAATATAATATCAATATCAATCTACTCTAAACTCAGAGGAAATTGGAGAAAAACCTATATAGCTTATTCACATTTTTTCTGTATTTCTAGATCTCAGATGCTACCTAGCATTACATCACACAAACCGATGATGCCTTGTAGAGCTGTTTTGTTGACCAGCTGACCTGTGCTACCTCGGATCTGTAACCAGTGTGAAGTGTGCATAGCTAATCTGTCTAGTGACTCAGATCACAGCTGAAGCAAAGATTCTTATCTTTTCATTCAGTTGAATATGGTTTTTTCATCATTTCCTTTCAATATAATTTAAAAAAGGAAATTTCAAAAAAGTCAACAATTTTTTTTTTTTTTTTTTACTATTTAGCCTTTGTTAAAAAACTTTTCCTTCCATGTATAAGTGCAATGAGCTGAAACTGTTGTCAGTTTTCTGTCCACTACTTCAAAAATCATTTTACAAAGAAGCAGTATATTATTAGCTCTGGGTCTTTTCATGAATAAGATGATTATTTTTTAAAACGTAAAAGTTTATATTTTTAAATGTACAAATAATTAAAATTTACTATCTAATGTACTCAGTTTAATTTCTATTCAATTGTTTCTATTTTTTACATTTTTCAAGTTTGCAAATGTTCGTGTGTATCTTGAAGTTCTTTCATGACTATAATAGATAGCTTGTTTATTTCACTTAGAACAATGACTTTTGGGCATATGATACCATATGTGATTTAATTATTATCATAGAAGAGCTCTCATTACATTACATAGTAATATAAATCACTTCTTGTTTGATAGCAGATTTCTAGAAGCAACTGGTGAAATCAGAAATTGTCTCTGGACTTGAGTTGTTTTTTTTTCCTATGGAGTAAATTGTAGGTTTCCTACTTAATTTCCAAGAGTTGGCAGAAAAGTTCCAGGGGCTTCATATCACTACAGGTAGTAATGATATTGTTTCTATTTTTTTAAGTCAATAAAATAATTGAAATGTATTTCATTGGAAGGCCCCCAAGCTTACAGAGGCAAGGCTTAGCATGCTGTCACTCACCATACCCCATTTGAACATTGCTGGCCGCTGAGGTGGTTTTGACCCTTTCGCAGTTTTTAATTGTTTGATTTATACTTTTATCTGTTAAAGACAGGAAGCATAATGAGCACTGATGTTAAAATGCATATAACAAACAAATACACCATGTGACAGTGATACTAATTCAGCTACGCGATCTTTACCAGGATTATACCGGCATATCTCTGACTAAAGTTTTTATGCAGTATATAGCATCTCTAGCACTTCAAAAACTAATGTTAAATAGAAAATATAATTCTTATATCTGCTGAGGATTATTTAATGGGAATAAAGATTACATTTATACACAGTTTACTTATAAGAAATAAATAGCAACATGAAAACTTTTATCATTTGAAAATAAAACATTATAATTACAAAAATAAACCAGTACATCATTGTAAAGCCCTTAATAGATCATTTAATAAAAGCAGTTTCTAATCTGTTTTTCAAGTTGAATATGTAGTTAAGTAGCAGTATTCATTTTAATATGTTGTTCACTGAGCATAATATATTTCATTTTAAAATTTATTTGTTGAAAAGTCAGCGGTTTTTCTGTTATTTTCAAAATTAAAATATCTTGAATGCTGTATCACTGTTAATATTTGTCTTTATATACATATTGTGAATATCACTGATTACAAGTCCCTGTATCATAATCTGTTGAAATACGAAATGATTTAAAATTTTTTCTAAAGGTGTCTATGAGACTATCAGATACTGAGGCTATGAGTCACATCCTTGTGAATAATATATTTGCAAAAAAGAGAACTAAATAAAGATATCATGTAAAACAGTTTCTCCAGAAAACTTTAAAATAGGCTTTATTCCTATTTATATTAAATTTAGGTGTTGGGTTGTAGCCTACATTTGCTCTATTCCGATTGAGACTGGGCCACTGAAACTCATTTCCAAGTAATACACTGCTTGTCAACCTGTTTTTAAAAACGTATATAAACTAGTGAAGAGCACTAGGCTTATCCAAATGGCCCAAGGACACAACCAGCATCCTCTAATCTGCAAATAATCTGTAAAGATAAAAATAATTTTGTCTTCAATGCCTTTCCTCCAGCATTACCTGCGGTATCTATTTCAGCTTGTTTTGATGTCTGTAAAAATCCTGTTTCCTGTTCTGGGAAATGACCTCCCACTTTTCCTCCCTCACTGGGGGCTCATTAGCTAAATTTGCCCCTGGCTGGGAGGATTTACCTGCACCAAAGGAAACACTGTGGGCGTGAGAATCAGCGGCTGAGTCTCATCATGGTGGGGCAGAGCTGGCAAGATGCTACGCACAGCAACCCTGCCCTTCCTTCTTGTGCCCAGGCCAGGCCTCCGCCTTATCAAGGCTGCAGGCAGCTGCTCCCAGGTGGTCAGATTACACTGAGATCCCATCATAAAAGAAAGCAGCAGCAAGTTGACTTTCAAACATTGTGCTTTTTTCCTATTTCACTAATATAAATGGGCACTGCTAGCCTTTATGTCCAATTTCTTGGTGTTCCCCTTCACCCCGAGCTGCGGTTGCTTCTGCATTTGTTTCTGATGGATGTTGAAGAAGGTGCCTTATTCAAATTAGTTGACTGGTTTACAAAAAAAAAAAATCTTAATTTTTCTCAGTTAAATGATTCTAGATTCTAGTTCCAGAAAAACAAGTTTAGAGAATTGGGCATGTGGTCATCGATGGTGGGAAAGGAGGCGGCCCTCGTTTAGCAATAATTTCAAGGGCCCGAGAACCCTGTGAAGGTCAGGCGGCCTTGTGGCCATTGGTGACGTGACACGGTGCAAACGCTATGCCTAGAATCTACTGCCTGTCTCACTGAGCATTCTTCGGGTGCTAGTCCTACTTAACGAGGCTTTCTGAGCAGGAGGGAGAGTCGGGTGATAAGTAGGGCCCTGGGACTTGCTCCTAATCTGGGGTGTGCTGATAGGAAATGCGTTTCTTCCTTGTGGACGTCATTCAGTTGTGTGTGGAGAGGAGGAAGAGTCCAGAGTGTGTTAAGAATTTCTGCCTTAGAATGTCGCCAAACAAGAATCAGGAGGCATCTGATAACCATCTCAGCCCCTCCACCCTCGTCTGGCTTTCTGCCCCCACTGGTCTATACTCAACGAAAAACCACCAATCTGTTGACATATTTCATAGAATTGTTTTCTACCAAATCTGACTTTAATTTTGAAAATCTGATTTATTTTTGCAGTTCAGAAAAATAGTCATTCTCAGGAGTCTGCGCATCTTAACAGACAAGCTTTCAGTGAAATGGGCTCAAGTGAAAGGTTAAGGTGAGCCGGAAGGCTAAGCACAAAGGATTCCCCAATACTCACTCCAAGCACCCACAGTAGGTCTGCAGCAGCAGCCTCCTTCCTTTGCAGACTGACTGGCTGCAAACTGTACAGAGCGCCGTGCAGGGGGCTGGGCTGATGCAGTGGCGAAACCACCCTCCACGAACAGCCTGTCTACCTGGGAAGATACAGGACACGCCGAATACCAACCTAGGATGTCACTGTGACAGAGAGGTAGAGGGAGGACCCAGAAAAGGGAGCAGTCGCTTCTAGGGGTGGCCCAGGAGTGGAAAAGGTGTGAAGGACGGCCAAATGGGGGCTGGTGGAAATGGGTCTGTGGGGTCAGTTATAGTTGAAAATTCATGCCAGTGGGATGAACGTGATGGGGGAAATCCCTGTTGTTGTTTTTCTAACTTTTTTTTTTTTTTTGCGCGAGGGGAGGCATGGGCCCTCTCTGGATACCTGACACACATGCATTTACCTTGAAATCCTACGGGTTCACAGACCTCATGTGCATTCAAACAGTCTAGCTGAGGTCCCTGTACAGAGTCCGGGGTACACCTGGCTGGCTTTCCTTCCCCCTTCCCTTCCCCTGCCCTCTCGGTGGCCAGCACTGTGGCAGTCTGGGGACCGTGAGGGGAAGGGTGGCTGCTCAGTGGAGCCGGCCCAGTGCAGTGAGGTCCGCTGCTGAGATGGCTCCCTGGGCTGTGGGACTGGACGGTTCTGCCTGAGGCCTCGGCCATCCATCCTGTTGCCAGGCACAGTGGAGGACCTGATGTGCTGACAGCAGGGAGGAAGGCCAGGCTGCCCAGCTGCCCACCCTATTACTGTGCCCAGCTGGTTCATTCTCTCCACTGCACCAATCCTCTTCCTTTTCATCTTAAAACATGCTGCCTGCCCAGGCCTCCCTTCACCTTTCCCCCAGAACAAGCTGCAAAGCTGCATTCCAACTCTCTTATCTTTGGAGTTTCCCTGAAGCCAGTTTTTGCTTAAGACATTTTGTGGGAGAAGGGAAGAGAGAGAGATTCCCCCCCCCCCCCCCCTGCCTTGCTGCAGGTTTCCGGAGCCCCATGCTCGGGCAGGGCAGCACTGGCAGGATGAGCCAACCTTAAAACTTTGTTTTGATACCAAATTAAAACATAGCCGTTAAAAATAACTCAAACATGAATGGCTCCAGAGTTTCTGTTTGGGGTGATGAAAAAGCTTTGGAAACAGATAGTGGTGATGGTTGCAAATCACTGGGAATGGAATGTCACTTCAAACGGTTAGCATTGTGAAGTTTATGTTCCATGTATTTTACCACAAGCAAAAAAAAACACTTTATTTATTTATACAATATGAAGCTGCGTTGGCTGACACTGTGTTCCCCCTCGTCTTCTGCCCATTGGCCACACTTGTAGCACAGAAGACCCTTTGCTTGTGGAGAGCCCCCCAAGAGGCCCAATAGGAGCCGTGTCCCAGCCTCAGGGCTGGAAGGACTTCAAATGTGGCAGCATGTTGAGAAATCGCAACGTGCCCAGGCGGCTGCTGTCCGCCGACTCGGCATCTCCCACAGTTAAGGATCTGAGCAGAGGCCTCTGCGGGCTCCCCCCTAAGGGTCCTGCTCACAGCCTGAGCACGTGCGCCTCTTGTGACTCTACAGGGCAGTCTCTATCCTCAGGCACAGTGTTGGGATAAGTTAACTCAGAAAAATATCTTTTCGAAACGTACAGTCACAGACATCAAAATCACATAACAAGGCATACACTGACAAGCCTTGTTTTAGCCCCATCGCATCGATCCCCCACTTCCTCCCAATAGGAAACCATTTTCATTAGGTTGTTTTTTTTTATGTATCCTTCTAATGTCTATCTCAGGCACATTTTATTAACATTTTTTTTTTCAGGCACATTTTATATTACCACTTTTTTCCCTTAATTAAAATTCTCAAGTCTCAATTTTTCTCTTTGGATTCCTCCTTATTCATTGTCACCAGCTCATGACGTCCCCTTAGATGGGGTCCTCAGGCCCAGGTGAGGTGGGAGGGGGGCAGAGGCAAGGGAAGATGAGGGGCCTGGGGATTGGACTCTCCTGATCCCTCTGGGTCCCTTTGTTTGGAATCTTCACGTTGGGAGAAAGACTTCAGGGGATGGAAGGAGGGTTAGGTCTCTGCTTTGATCTCAGGATCTTTAATTAGACCCAGAACACAAATCCTCTCAGGGGAGTGGTCCTGTGTTAGGAATAAGGATGCAATTCCCAATGGGTAGAAGACCTCTGGTCCGAGGCGAAACCCAGGAGGATGCAGAGATACTAGGAAGGGTTGTAGTGGGGCCAGGACCCAGCTAGTACCTGCAGGCCAGCGCTGGAGCTCCGCGGTCCTCCAGGTGACGAGGTGCCCGTGGCCAGGGCCACATGAGCCGTGTCATCCTCTGTGGAGACCTGGAGCAGAAGGCGATCTCCGATGCCTGGTGTGAGGCAGCCATGAAGCCCTAGGACGCTGACTCCTGTGAAGACCAAAACTGTCCTGCCCGCTGGGTGGGGCAGGCCTGGGAGCGGGTCCAGGGTGGGTAGGGCTGCATCACCCACCCTGAGATTATAGCTGTGGCTGGGGTTCCTTGCTGGTGGTGGTGTGTATGTGTGTGTAGAATGGGTGACGGGTGGGGGGTGGTTGGTGACAGACTAGAGAGGAAGTGGGGGAGCCAAGTGCTTCCCTGGAGGCCTGGGCAAATTCTCCCCCAGGGACCAGCCATCCTTGGAAAAGGACCTCCTGGGAAAGTAGGTTCGCCTGTGACTGTGGGGGGAGAGAGGGGTGCTGGACCGTTCAGGCCAGGCTGCCTGCTGCCCAGCCAGCTGTGGGCAGGGCTTGCAGTGGCCCTGAGGTGGGGAGAGTGTGTCGCTCTCATACACACTCCCGGGCACACACACCCTCACCCTCATCCTCCATGAAGTCTCCCTCTCACACATAAAGCTATTTCCTGGTTCTCTGGTCCCCACTCCATGCTGCTCCTGTTTTTGCAGTTTCTGCCACCATGGGAGCTAAGGAGATGGTCCCCAAATTCTCTTCTCTTTCCTCCCTTCCCAACATTCAGGGCCTGGTCGCGTGACACTTTCAGAGAGCTGGTGGTTGAACCCAAGCTGCAGGTGGGGAATACCATGGGCCTGGCAGTGAGGTGGGGTGGCAGCAGGGAGGGGGCTGGCGCCTGGGCCGCCCCCCAGCATCGGCAAGGCCACTTCCGCCTCAGGGAGCAGCAGTGTCAACACTTCCAGGCCCCTTTCCCAACAAACAACAGCCCTCCCTGGATGTGCGCTCTGGCTGAGGCCGGGGTGGGCGGCAGCATGGCGGAGGGGGTTTATCAGTGTGGAAGGAACAGGAAGGGAGAAGAAGCTGGTAGGGGTTTTTTGTGTTGAAAATGGACACTCTGGGTGATGGGAAGGAGTGTCCGCCCTTACATCCGTGCCCAGCTGGCCCCTCCCCAGGTGAAGAACGGAAGACCCTGTGGGGTTTCTATTTCAAACTCCTCATTTATTTTGACATTCGCTTGGTTGTGACTCCAAGTTACCAAAGATGCAGGACAAGAAATCTGCAGCAGGAGCATGAGTGGAGGTGAAGACAAAATGGCGGAGAAGACAGGGTTCCCGGACTCCCCTCTTCCTGTTTAGGGTGCAGTTTGGAGGGTGTCCAGGTAGTGTCCCATAGCTAAAAAATGCCGTGCAGCTGAATGGGGGAGCTTCCTCTTCCACAGGTCAGGCCCTCGCACCTACGGGCAGGTGGGCGGGCAACTTTGAGCCTGTGCTCTGAGCGGCATGCAGCTGTGTGTGGGGGAGCAGTGGCCCACCATTTCTCCAGTGCCCCACACCTAGATTGTCATCTGTGGGTTGACAGGACTTAGGCTGGGAAAGCTATAGGAGGGGACAGGACCCCACAAGATGCTTTCCACTTGGGGACCCCAACAAATCAGGCGTAAGGAGCAGGTGACAGGTGATTAGGTTGTCTTGATTTCTGCAAATGCGGGAGGTACAAGGACCCTGTTGTTGTTTGATGAAGGAGGGACAGCCCCTGCTGGGGTTGATTGGCTATGGAATTCCAGAGCAGCAAGGCACTGGGGCTGGCCGTCAGGAAGCGGTGAGAGCGGCCAGGCCCAGCAGCTCGCATCAAGGGGGTGTGCTTGGCCCAGCAATGGCTGGCAGTGGGATGGGGTATGTTAAAGCCGCCGTCCTCAGCTGGCCCCTCTGCACTCGGAGACGGATTTCATGACACCTAGAGCTGCCTCCTGTGTGAAGACCAATGTTACCATTTGAGGCCACTCAGTAGGAGAGTCAGGCAAACACGTGCTTTTCACAATCACCACTGCTCTGCCTGCTAGTCCTGTTTTACTGTGGTCTTTGTTCCTTAGCATGCATCCCTGCACACAGGATCAGACAGCTGGCAAGTGTACCCAGCCCCGCCAGGACTGCGTGGCCTGGCTGGCAGATCTTCACAGGCAGCCCTGGCTTCGTGGAGCACTGCAGGGCCCTTCAAGTCCATCTGGGCAAGTCTCATTTCCCTGGAGAAAATGGGGTCTCAGAGAAGATAAGTGGCTGATCCCTAGAGCTAGTGAGTGACCAAAGTGTGACCGGACCCCAGATCCTCTGATCCTGGTGTGCCTTAATAAACAGATTGAGATGCAGGGTGACAGGAGCCTGAACAGTGATCCTTCAGCAGAGGCGCCAGCTCCTTCCCTGCCACCCCCCCAGGGGCATCCGTGGGTGCAGAGAGAGTGCAGTCAGGTAGGGAGGCAGGCTTCGAAGGGGGGCGGCCACCCCTTGCTACAGAGGCAGCTGGAAAACTCATCGGATGCATTCACTCGAACAGCGTAAGGCCACGGCTGACATGAGTGCGAGGTGGGCGCGGACTTGGGGCTAGAGTGAGACAGCAGTAAATCGGCCCTCCCCGAGACTGGGAGTGGCGCGTGGCCTGGACGGAGGGCGGCAAGAGGGATCCGACTGCTAAGTCAGACCTTCCGGACCTCAGGAGCCTGGGCCGCTGTGCCCGGTGAGTGAGTGGTCCGGCCTACAGCGTCACAGCTGGGTGCCCGAGCGGTACGCCCTAGAGGGGCCGGTGGGACAGCATCATCCCACGGGAGACTCTTCAGGCTCTTCCTGTACAGGGGTTGGCCACTGAATCAGTTTTCCCTCATGCCGTCTGGGGGTCAGACTTTTCTTTCGAGGTGCGACATCAGAGACCCTTCCACTCGGCGGGTCCCGCAGGTGGCCAAACCCCTCGCGTGCGCACACGCATGAGAACGCACACGCTCTCGCAGGGCTGCATCCACGCACACCACTCAGCACGGCGGGCCACAGCCCCAGAGACCACCAGCAGGACCTCGCTTGCTAAGCAACTCGAACTCTCCTAACAAAACCTGAAAAAGGCTCTCAGCCAGGCAGCTCGTTCTGAGGCAGGGAAAGAGGATTTAAGGGGAGACAAGGTCACACAGCCCCTTTTCGATGCATTCCCCACAAATAACCTTCCGCCATTAAAGCCAACTCAATGTGTTCTACGGGGAAGGGGCAGATACACCTGTGATGTCTTCAGGAATCAGCTCGACATTGGAGCAGCTATGGGGCCTGCCGTCTCTATGACAACCGAAACACAAAACTACACTGCAAGCTAGCTCTTGGATTCTTTTCAGCCAGCAAGTCCTGCAGCAGTCTCTTTCACAGCCTCCTCTCCCTTCTCGAATTCTGCAGCGCTCCCCTCTCACCCTGCCCCATGTCCCCCTTTCTTCTTTCATCTCCCAAGGTTTCTGGAGGCCTCCAGACCTTTGCATAACTTTCCTTCTTCTCAAAATCCACAAAGCTGGGGGAGTGAGGAAAATGAGAGGGACCTGGAGCGCGGGAGCTGGACAGAGGAATGTCCCAACAGAAAAACGGGCAAAGCTACCAACTCAACCTGTCAGGCCCCCTCTCCGGGCCAGGGGACCAGGCCCTGCCCTGGTTCTCAGCACATCCAATAGCTTGAATCCTGGTGAACCTTCCACTGTGAGGCAAGAAAAGCCAAAGAAATGGAGACAGTCCCTGTGGGATGCTGGAGGGGGCACGGCTGGCTCCACTGCTCCTGCTGGGGCAGCCGCGTTGGTGTGTGTGGGGTTCGGGGGCAAGAGGGGTTGGTTACACGTCTGTACTAATAGCCCTTGGATTGGTAAAGGCCTCACGCCCAGGGCCAGGCCATGTCACCGGGTAACTCTGGGGTGCTGCCAACTGGAGGGACGGGGGTCCCCCCTCCTTGTAGTACGTGGGAGCGAAGGACAGCCTCTCGCCTCCGCCCCCATTGGGCACCATGTCAGCCGTCCGTATGTAAAAGGGGGAGCTATATGGGGAGCAGGTGGTACAGTGGCGGGCTGCCGCTCCACACGGCTGGCCACAGGGCTCGCCGGTGACAGGCGCCAGGCCGCCTCTGCCATCCAGGGCTTGGGAGCTGCAGGCATTGCAGGGGGGGCCCCTGGAGGGTGTGGGCAGGTCGTGCTCCTCCTCCTCGTCATCTGCATCCTCAGCTCCTCTCTTCTTGCAGCAGTAATACTGAGGGGAGATGGGAGGGGGCCCTGAGGGCTGAAGGCCCCCTTTGAGCACACGGGCACCCACGCCCCTGCTCCACTGAGGACCCCGTGCCAGGCACTTTGTGGGCGCTGAGGTCCAAACTCAACACCAGAGGCCACGTTCCACAGATCCCCAGCCTTGCTCCCCTCTTCTTCCCCTACTTCCCAGTGCATTACCTCTGGGCTATGGTTCACAGGCAGGGAGGCAGCGAGGGAGGGACACACAAGTCACACTGAGGACAGGGCCAGGGGTGGCGGGGAGCAGCTTTCAGTCTCCCTAGAACGGTGCCCTTCCCACCGCTCTGAAATCTCAGACACGCAGGAGACGCAACCCAATCAGCCAGTATCTTCCCAGCATGCCCCCTTTGGGTGCCCTACGTGTGCAGAGTGTGGGGGATGCACAGCTCCCCTCTGATCGCTCCCCAGCTCCCAGGCCCCTTGACTTATGCCTCCCACATTCCATGGCTTTGGGCTTTGTCACCCAGAAGAGGGCCTCCGGTGTCCGCCCCAATGGGGCAGCAGTTTGCAGGTGGCCTCGGGCCACAGGCTGGGGGACTGACCTGGAGCCGACAGTAGCACAGGACAGCGATGATGCAGAGAAGGATGACCGTAGCTAGGATTCCGCCAGTGATCACTACTGTTCCCGCTGTCATCCGCCCGACGCCCCATCCAACTCTGCAAGGAGATGCATGGAAGGCTGAGAGGCAGCCACGGCGGCCACACTGGGCACGGGGCAGGGCGCCCTCCTGAAACTGTCTGCACAGCTGGAGGTAGGGGGACCCCAGCAGCTGGGATACTGGGGACTTCCTGAATCCCAGAGGGTGGCTGTGGCCTGAGCCAGCCTCCCCGGGGGGCTGACATCTCCTGGAGGTGGACGGAAGAGGGGATGCAGTGCTTCCTGTTTCTACCCAGTTTCAAAGGTTCTAGCTGTCTTTCCCTCTAATTCTCTTCTGCCTCCCCTCTCCCCTCTCCTTATGTCCTGCTTAAACTACAGCCCCTCCACCGGTGGCTTCAAGACACAAAGAAAAACAGCTTCAGTTTACTGTGGGCTCAGCACTCAGCATTCCGCTGGGTATCTCAGTTAGTCCTCCAAACGATCTTGGACAATTCCTAATTATCCCTATTTCACACGTGATGAACCCCAGCCTTGACTGATCAGGCTGAGGTCTCCCCCTGCCTGGTTCACCCCAATGGCCCTGCTCTCACTCTCTGCCCTCGGAGGCATGAACACCAGTGGTCCCTGAGCCTTTGGCCCAGGCGGAGGGGACAGGGTCTGAACCTCCAAAGTTCTGCCTACTGCCGCTCTGGCTCAAACCCACACTCTTTTTGGAGGGGGGCCTCTTTCCTTTCTTTCCAGCTCTTGTGGAAAACAAGGGCACAGCGAGCCCAGCGGGAGCAGGCAGGCGGCATTCTGGCTCCGGGAAGGCTGTGGGGGTTGTGGCGAGGCTGGGGAGCTGGGCCTGGCTACGGTGGGCTCACAGGACAGAGGCAAGCTGTGGATGAGAGGCTGTCTGGCCTCAGGCTGACTCCCCGTTCGGGCCGCTGGATGGGGATTTCTGAGCCTCTGGGGCTCATGGGGACCAAGGAGGGTACAAGGAGACTTGGCCTCTTGAGGATGAAAGAAGGATAGTGAGCACTTACGTTCAGTACAGGGGATGGTGACCTGCAAGGCAACAAAAGGGATGGAGGTGTTGAAAGAAGACCGTTACCCGCTGACAAGCTTAGATCAGTCCCTAAGCTGTACCTCACCTCACCTTGCCTTCCTCACCGTGTGCTCTGTCATCAGTAAGCCCCCACACACCAAATCTGCGTCTCCAGCTGGGTCTCCAGCTGCTAGTGGACAGGCACTGCACTCGGATGTCCCACTGGCATGCCAAACCCAACTGTGACAGGCTGAATCATCACCCTCTCTCCACGGGGGCTCCCTCACCTCGGACCTGTCTGTCTGTTAGTGGTTCCACCAGAGCTGCACGAAGGCTTTTGCAGGTTGCGCGTTACTCAAAGGGCAAGTGGGGGCTCTGCTCACAAAGCCCCTTGCCCTGCTGTTCACCTGGTGGAAACGGCACCTTTCTCTTCACCCAAAGACACCACCTGCTCTTCACTAAGTGCTCCTAGAACACGGCATGCTCCCTGCACTGCCTGTAAGTCACTCACAGGTGCTCGCCGTGCCATGCCATCTGTGGAGCGGGTTTGAAATGCAGCATCTCCGGCCCCACCACAGGCCTAATGAGTCAGAAGCTGCATTTTGACAGGGTCCCAGGTGATTAATTTGCATAGTAGGGTTTGACAAGGCCATGGGGTGCTCCCCTACTTGCCCAGACTTTCAGACCCTCAAATTCTCCTCTGGCTTCCCCCAGTCTGCTGTTCTCCACATTGGTTAAAACCCTTGGCATCTCATGCCTGCACTGGTGCAGTGGCTTTCTAACCGATCTCACTGGTTTTGGCTCTGAGCACCCTTAGCCTTTGGTCGTTAGCACCCCAGCACCCTTCGTTTCCTCCAGACCCTTCCCAACATCACACTGCCTGCAGGATACATTGATCTGGCCACGAACTTTTGGACCAAACTTCAGAAGCTTTTCCCTGCCCCTCTTCCTTGCATGCTCACCACCAATTTGTTTCCCTCCCCGCCTCCCACTGTCTCTCTTACATGAACCCTCCTTAAGAAGCTTATAGCCTGGCGATGGAAAGACACTTAACATATCTTGGAACAGCCATGGTCATTGGTCACACATGGCTTTCATGCTACAACGGCATAGTTGGCTCTTTTAGGGAGGACGCAGCTCACAGTGGCCCATGCAGGGAATCGAACCGGCAACCTTGGTGTTATCAGCATCACGCTCTAACCAACTGAGCTAACCGGTCACCCCATATCTTACAATATGGTGTGAGACACACAGCCAGAGACACACAGACCGGGGGCTGTGGGAACACAGAGGTGGGGCAACTAACTACTCGGGGAAAGGTTTCAGGGAAGACATGTTTGAGCAGAATCCTAAAAGCTGCGTGGGAGGTTGTCCAGTAGACACAATGGAGAGGGAAGGAGTCTGAAAATACATGGGGTTCTCGGACTTGTGGGAATCTGGAAAGGCCTGTACAGGACAGGGGCGGAACAAAGCTGGAGAGGCTGTAAGCCAGGCAAGGACGTGGGGTTTTAGCTTTGCCGGAGACGAAGGGGTTCCTGCAGAGCTTTCAGCAGGGGGGTGCATGGTCTCATTTTCTCCGGCTATTTATTCCCGCCCATCTTTCGAGGCTCTGAGAAACCATCTCTGGCTGCCCCAACGGTGATGCTCTCTTTCCTCCAGGACTCCTTCTGCAATGCCTTTCTATGCACCACGCTTTTCAAACTCTGTCTTGGCAGGATGCTTGTCAACTTGCGTGTGCGAACATCTTGACTCCTCCACTAAATTATGAGTCCTTTGAGGTTAGGGGGTTGTATCCCAAACTGTTTCCTATCCCTCTGTAGCGTTATACGCAGTGCCTGGCACACAGCGGGTACTTAATAATAAGTTTGTTAATCATCTCCCGGTTATTTCTTGCACAGGCCTGGCAGTTATGACTCAGATATACCACCAGGGGGCAGCAAGTCGCACCTCTCAGCTCACATCCCGTCTGCAGACTTGAGCATCGCCTTTGGGACAGATCTGACTGCCCAGGTGCATGGTGGGCCGAGCGTCAGGGACTCACTGGGCATTTGGTGGGGGACGAAGCTCAGCCTTGGGAGGATTTATGTGCCTCCACTAAAACACCACCCTGCCTTCGCCTGCTTTGCCAGCACGCTCTCTACTGAGGGCTGCTTAAGAGACAGAGAGGCCTATGGAGTGACCTGAAGTTGGGGGAGGTGGCAGTGACCCCCTCTGCTAAAGTCTTGGCCTAGTCCCCTGGGATGTGCCCACCCTGTGTTAGGAGACAGGGAATTATGAAGCCATATAAGAACAGTGCCAGGCCGGCCGAGTGGCTCATTGGTTAAGAGTTGGCTTGGGAGCATGAGCTCTGAGCAGCAGGGCCACAGATTGGAATCCCACATGGGCCAGTGACGCTGTGCCCTCTACAGCTCAGATGGTGAACAACAGCTCAACCTGGAGCTGGGCTGCCGTGAGTCGCTGGAGACAGCGTAGGCTGCAGCCACTGCTGCAGTGGGTTGCCATAAGCTCCTGTGAGTGGCTGGCAGCCGGCGTGAGCTGCCGTGAGCAGCCGTCCAATGGCCGGCGAGTGACTGTCTCACCCAGGAAGAGCACAATGATAACACCAACATGGGCCAGTGACGCGACATCCTCCATAACTAGACTGAAGAACAAAAGGTCAGCAACCTGTCTGTTCCCCTTCCCCGATTCCCCAACACTGTTCCCTCCCCCAATTCCCCAATAAAATCTTTAAAAACAAACAAAAAATCCCCAGTGCCCTCCCTCCTTTTGCCCCCCATGCTGGCCCCCCTTCTTTCAGCACCATGAAGGCTGGACAGCAGAAATGGCCAGAAATGTGGGCGGAGTGTGACAATGCAGGCGGAGTCAAGGGTCTGAAGGCCCATCTGAGCCCCACCTGTGCCTCTGAGCAGCCACCCCAGCTTGGAAACTGACCACCTTTTCCACCTACGAAAGAGAGGTGAACCAAAAACTCAGTATACAGGTATGATTGAGAACAAAAAGTGAGGTTCATGTACGTGAGGGCCCTTTGTAAACTAAAAGATCCTTCAAACACGCTGGCTTATGGGAAAAAGGAAGACCCACATGTTTTTTGGCTGCTTGAGTCTGCCAGACAATCAAAACCCAAGAGGGCATGGGGTGAGGGCATGCAGTGAGCTAACCAGGTCCCAGGCAGGCTCCCTGAGGCCCAGTACTAATGGTACAATTTAGCATTTAAATTCCCACATCCAGTGGCTCTCTATTATTTAAGGCAGGCTCATTTTCTCTTTACAACCAGAAGCAAATAATAACAATAACTCTGTGCATCTCATCGGCACCTCCAGTTTACAGCTCCTCCTGTGATGGGCAGGCTCTAAGATGGCCCCAAATGTATCCTGCCTCCTGGCAGTCATGCCTTATACTCCCCCCCCCCCTTGAGGGGTGGTATGACCTGTGAGTTGCTTTTACCCAACAGAATACAGCAAAGGTGATGGGATGCCACTTCTGAGACTAGATTATATAACGTTTTGACTTCCCTCTTGCTGGACAACTTTTTCTCCTTTGCTGGTTTTGATGAAGCAAGTTGCCATGTTGGGGAGGCCCATGTGACAAGGACCTGAAGGTGGCCTCTGGCCCTCAGGCCACTGGACAGCAGGAGCTGAGGCCCTCAATCCGACAGCCCAAAAGGAACTGAACAAGCACATAAGTGAGAGTGGAACTCTCTCCCAGTTGAGCTTTCGAATGAAAACGCAACCCTAGTGGACACCTTGAATGCAGCCTCATGTCAGATCCTGGAGCAGCAGACCCAGCAAGCCATTCCTGGATTCCCAACCCACAGGAACTGTGAGAGCCTCAATGTGTGTTGTTACATGCTGCTCAGTATGTGGTGGCTTATTATGCAGCAAAAGATAGCACCCCCTTTGAACCATACAAAACCCCCACAGGCAGGAGGGGAAGCCAGACCATTAAAATGAGGTGCCTAAAGTCATACAATAGCAAGTGTCTGAGTCAGGACCCCAGGGCCAGTGCCATACAGTTTACATCATATCAGCCGTCTCCTGATTACCTTCCTGGGAACAGGAGAAAGAGGTCCCCATGTTCCCTCCTAGCAGATCTGAACAGAATGGATTCAGCGGTGACCAACTCAAGGCCTGAGGGCAGCCAGAGGGGACAAGCCAAAGACACCGGGGCCTGCCCTCTGTGCCCGTGACTCCGGGCTCCTCCCCACCGACACCTCTCCCCACCCAGGGTCCAGGCATCTTTTTCTGGCAGGGAGCGGGGTTGGCCTGTGCCTTACACTTAAGTGAAACAGCCGAGGCAGCAATGGTTCAGTCACACAGGCCGTCATGGGGCTGCGTCATGGCCAAGGGCGTCCGTGCCTGCCAGAGAAGAGAGGGGAGGTCAGTGAGAGCTGGAAGGGGGTGCCGAGAGGGCAGACAGGCTCGCGCGGGCACCTGGTTGTAACCCCAAGACTGCAGTGCATGTCCTCAAGGGGCTTGTTTCTTGACCTCTTGACATGAGTGAAGTCCCCGAAGGGCAGCCTTGGTCTCTGAGGCCCCCAGCCGAAGAACCTGAGGACAGACTCTAAGGCCACATCCTATCTCATCCTTGTTTCCTTCTCTCGGTGCTGCTGTCTGGAAGAACCCTCGGCCCAACGCAGCAGGACGCCGGGCAGTAGCCTTTGCCTGTTCTGGGAAGTGAGCTCAGCGGGCGCAGGGGGTCCGGCTGCCCCTTCCATGCTCCACTGGAGAAGTCCGACCTGCCTGGCGTCAGGCGTGTCCTTGTTGCCCACATGGCTAACCCCTTCTCTCTCGATGGCCCCCATGCCTCCTTCCCACTCCCTTCCCCACCCTCCCCGGGGCCTGTCCGTATTCCCGGGGCCCAGAGCTGTACACCCCTTCCCCTTTCTCCGGCTTTCTGACATCCCCCAGGCCCACATGCCAACTAGACTGTCAGATGAACAAGTTGGACAGGATAAGATCGTCAGGTGGACACAGACAACAAGATCACCACGCTGACGTGCAGATGGAGGAGAGCGAGACAGGACCCAACTGAAACGTCTAGGAGCCCAGTGTAGGCTAATTATTGGGGGTCCCTTCAAACCAAAATTCTTTAAATAGCCACTCAACATTATTTAGAGGATGGTCTGGGTCCTGTACTGAGAATGGGGTGCGGGAAGAGAAGGACACACACTGGTGATGATGTGCCACCCTGCACTGGGTCCCGAGCAGGGAGGGCCCCACTGGGTGTGTGTGTGATTGGGGAGGGGACCCAACCGTTAACCAGATCCACAGAGCCACCTTCTGTGGGGACAGGGCTGACCACGCCCAGGTTCTCTGCCTCAGCCAGAAGCTGGAGGTCGAAGGACAGACAGTAAATAGCATGCCTGACAGACTGGTGCTCATCTGAGTTCAGAGAGTCTCAGGGGCAGAGTTCCGGGAGAAGTTGAGAAGGTAGATGGTCACTCATAGTGCCCTGTCCCCGCCTTCACCTCCCTTCTAGATTTAGCCCTCAATACAGCCTCCAGGTCCCTCAGTGACTTCATTGCATTGAGGCAGGGTCACTTGTCTCCCTGCCTGGCAAACACTGGCAGGAAATGCCAGCCGCAACTGGCACCAGCACATGTAATTAATGATTGGCTGTCCCCTGATTCCTGCTCAGCCCCCCTTAGGAACACAGGTTAATTAAGTGGGGCCTAAGATTCGGCTGATCTCAATTTCCTCTGATGCAATTAAGCCTCATACAATCACGCATTAACGCATGAAATTGACACAGCAGGTTAGCAGCCCTGGAGAAGAGAAAGTTTATTTCCTTGTTACCTGTCTTCCCGGATGGCAAGGCTGGCAGAGGGGAGGGAAGGATGGGGCTCCTTTCACTTTGATTGAACTTCTGGCCATTACCAAACCCTGACCCCAGAATGAGGGTGTGAAGACTTGGTGGTTATATCGGTTCCTTTGCCCGAGACGAGCAACGACAGCTGTAAAGATGCCTGTGCTGTTCAAGAAGGGGCCTCTCTAAGGAATACAAGGAAGCTTTGCAAATCACCAAGGGAAAAAAGAAAGAACCTCAGTGTAATCACAGGCAACAGACAGGTGGCTTATGAAAGAGGAAACCCAAAGACCAACAAGAAAACGAAGATATGCCCAAATTCATTAGTAACCTGAGAACTGCAAATTGGAACCACATGGGCTATCACTCTGCATCGGTAGGACTGGCCAAAATTAGGAAGCTGGATAATGCCAAGTGCTGGAGCAGATGTGGGAGTTTAGGGGCACTGCTGGTGGGGGTGTAGCTAGGGCAGCTGTTGAGGGGGCACCAGGCACTATTTGGTCATTTTAAGTTCACACATAATCCATGAAACATCAATTCTGCTCCTGGGTCTATGTCCCCCAACTTTCTCAATACACCCAGAAGGGGTCATGTGAGAAGATATGCATCACTGTGCTGTTTATGGTGGCAGGGGGTTGGAAGCAAGCTCACTGGGCATCACTGGGAGTGGGGAGGTAAACGCGGGGTGATGCACACCTCAGAGGATAATGCGACTGCTGAAAGCAGCCGACCAGATGGACCATAGCAACACATAGCAACAAGTATAAACCTTGGCAAAGTGAAATACACAAACAGTGCTAAGTGATAAAAAGACCAAAAACCTAGAATGAGATGCATAATACTGCTTACATACATTTAAGACACAAGCATACAGGCCAACAATTCTTATTTTCAAGAACTCATACCCAAAGCAAAACAAAACCCCAAGCTCACAGATACAGATGATAGATTGGGGGTTGCCAGAGATGGGGTGTGGCGGCGGGGGCGGGCAGGTGAAGGGATGGGAGAAATGGGTGAAGGGGTCAAAAGGTACAAACTTCCACTTATAAAATAAATAAGTCCTGGGGATGTCATGTGCTGCATGGTGACTAGAGTTACTAATACTGAACCGCAGATCTGAAAGTTGCTAAGAGAGTAGATCTTAAAAGCTCTCACAAGAAAAATGATCTTTTTGTAACTATGTAATGTGAAAGACGTTAAGACTTATTGCGGTGATTGTTTCACAATACATAAATAGCATATCATTATGCTGTACTACACCTGAAACTAAGATAATGTATGTCAACTGTACCTCCATACACAAAACAAAAACAAAAAGCAAAAAGTGGATACACATCAAATACGGTGGAATGGCTGACTGTGGAAGGAGGAGAATGAGAACGGGGGTAAGAATAAAAGAGGGAAAACACAAAATGAGAGGGGCTCTGCACAGACCAGTGACGAATGACAATGAGAAGTATCTGAGAAGTAATAGAGATATAATGAACCTTCTGCATCTGAGGTCCAACTCAAACAAAAGAACAAGCGGCTCTCACTGCTACCAGGGAGCCTTGGCTTAATGCTGCACATTTTTATTCGACGTTCCCATTTGTCCGCAGGTAACTGTATCTGTTGATCACTGCTGTCCTGTGGGTGTACTTTGCTTCCTTCCTTAGATGACAGCCCACCTGCGGGCACAGACTCAGGCTCCTGAGCCTTCGTACGGCTCCGTTCCACCGGCCTCGTGCTCTGCAGCCTAGGCCTGGATTGCGGGTGTGATGGGGAAGATGTTTTGCGTGCCTGCTGCCTGTCCCAGCACACAGCCTTCGCTTCTGGTCTCTGCTGCTGTGGAGGGTGAAAGGGCACCAGGCTAGGGCACACTATTTGGGTTTCCATTCTACTTTCTGCACTCCTTCCCTGGGTGACTTGGGACAATTAATGATTTCCTTGAGGTTCATCTGCAAAACGAAGGTCGATGACGCACCTTCCCTTTCAGCATGAGGAGAGTGGGAAACGGGGGTGTTATTTAAACTCCAAAGTCCTGTTCCAAGGACCCAGGGTCCTTGCAGTCCTCTGTGCTGTGAACAGAAGAAATGGCCCTTTGTGTTCACCTGTCCCTTGGTGAGTTGGCTCTGTCAAGGTTTGGGAGCAGACCTGGTAAGGACAAGGCTTTTTCACCCAGAGATGGGGCTTCAAGGGGACTGCATTCACACAAATAATGCCCTGTGTTCAACAGTGAGAAAAAACACCATGTGAAGTCAGGTGGCCTGGGGCCCACAACGGCTGTTTCGTGTGTGGTGGGGCTCTGCCGTCTGCCAGGTGCCCAGCGCAGCATTTACGACAGCAGCGGGCCTCCATCTCCTGCGGCGGGCCTGTTCTTTCCTTCCAGAGGGGCTTTCCTTCTGTTCATTTTGCCTTTCCTTTTGATTTACAGTAATGGAAAAGCACCCAGTTCCATAAAGGCCAGTTCTGAGCCTGACAGAGCTAGGAAATGACGCCTGAAAGACTAGTCTCTGAGCTGCCGTACCAGGATCCCTCGAGATTTAATGAGACAACATTCAGAGCTGGGGTTCTCATTGTCCCCTGGTAGCACTAAGCCAGCCGTCCACATCATCTCTGCATGAGCACGCAGGCAGTCATTTTCTCTTTTCTATGACCCACACTCTCTTCACACACATACTTTTTCTGTGTTCATGAGACAAGTCCATACATCATTATGTGAATGGCTAATGAGCTTTCCAATTTGTGGTGTAGCTTGTAGATTCCTGGAATTTTGGAACAAGCAAATAAATGGCTTTAAAATATGTCAATTAGGCTATACCTAACAAACTGGTTATGGTAACATATGTGACATAAGTTGATGTATTCCCTGCCACTGGGACATGCAGAGAAGGGGCCATGTCCAGGGAGGGCCTGGGGGGCTCACAGCCAATCAGGTAAACAATGATTGAAGAAACTGCGCTTGTTGAGCATGTCTAAGAGGAGATGTTGGAGGAAAAATGGGAGGAGAGGCTATGATAACTTTTGTCAAATATCTGAAGACCCATCACTTGAAAGAAGGATTTGTTTTTATTCTGTATTGCTGTTTCATAAAACTACATGGCTCCATACTTTGTTTGATGAGAGTCCCCTCCACATCACCTCCACCTCTCTCAAGTGCCACTTCCTCTATGAAAACTTCCCAGGGCAGAGCCAGTTGTCCTCTACTTCAGGCTGCTGGCATCTCTCACATTATACTCTTCTTCTTTTATAAAAAAATTATTATATCTTTGTCTCATCCACTAGAGTCTGTGGCCTTTTGGGGCAGGAGCTGGGGCATATTTTTGTATTTCAGCGTCTAATAAAGAGTAGATTTTCATGCATGTTTACAGAATGAATGAACGAATGAATGAATGAATGTTTTTGGTAGGATCTTTTAAATATAACAGCTCTGTGAAATGATGGGGATCGTCATCAACTCCATTTTATTGATGAGGTAACTGAGGCTCAGAAAGAATAGGTGACTCATGTAAGGGCATAACTAGTTAAGTGGTGTTGCAGACAGTTCTCAGGTCTTCCAATGTTAAATGCT